CACTTTGGCCTTAGTTTCTAAAATTTTTTTTCAAAAGTGCCCAAAATGTATATACTCCTCTTAATAATTATTTTTTACATCTTTTAAATAAAAAAAAAAGAAACTGAGCTATTATTATTATTTAATAAATTTAAATTTACTATTCCAAGATGAATTTTTCGAACTCGGGATGTTGCGGTCACAACTATACTATTTCTAGTACAAAGGGACTCTAAAACACGTAATAACACTCATATCTCAACTCGTATATTACCATAATTCATCAATTTGTCACACGTGAAAGGAGTACCAAACTCATCTCGACCATTAATCTGGTTACCCACATACCCCTCTCTCAATGGTAACTGATTGAACGGTATATACGTCAACTTTGCACATTTTAATATATAATTCAACAATATATCACAACCCTTTCCATTTATTTTTTTTAGCAGATCTTGTCCCCATTTATTCTCCTCTTTAACTCACACATGTGCTTCTCTGTTTCCTCTCTAATCTATTTTTTTATTAAAACTAAATTATTTTCCCCTTATTTTCTATGTTGTCCATATTATTATTTTTTGTTCCCATACAGACCAATCCTCTAAATTCTATAATTTCCTCTCCTGCGTATGCACACCAGTATATATATATATACACACACACATATATAATTATTTTTCTGTTATTCCCCTTGTTGACTAATTTTTGTCTTTATATTTCCTCCCCTAAGTATGCACACCAGTATATATATACACACATGCATAATTATTTTTCTACTATTCCCCTTGTTGCCTAATTTTGTTTTATATTTCCTCCCCCTGCATATGCACACCAGTATATATATCTACACATATATAATTATTTTTCTGCTATTACACTTTTTGCCTAATTTTGTTTTTATATTTCCTCCCGTGTATGCACACCAGTATATACATACACATATTTATTTTTCTATTATTCCCCTTGTTGCCTATTTTGTTTTTTTTTTCTTTTTTTTTTATAATTTCCTCATCTATACATTGATCAGTACCCTTCACTAATTTACCTGGAAATTTCCAGGATGCTCTTATAATTTAATTGGCCAAATTTTTAAATCCTTACTTGTTTTGTTGTGTTGTATTCTAGTGTTTCTATCTATAATCATTCTCCCATCAGATCTCAACCCTTTATTTTACTCAAATAACTCCCCGACATGATACTTCCCAGATATGGAATTTTTACAGAATTCATCAGAGCTGATATATCCCTCATGCACATCAGTTTAGGTGCCTAAACTAAATTTCGAACACTGGTGCTCATCGTTTAATTGATGCAGAAATTACATACTCAGGTACCTAATCTTAAAACTATTGTACCATTCATTTCAGGATCTACAACTACCAATTAGAGGACACCGGTAAACCTTACTGCATAACTGTTTTAAACCAAAAATTGGGTGTATTACATCACTGTTCATGCCTTCAGCTAAAACAGAAAATTATTCAACCCATTTTTCACTCATATTTGAGGCCTAAGGGTACTAATTATTGAGATAGAGTAAGGTGGTAAATAATCCTTACCTCTTCGACAAAAGGTGATGCAGGTGGTCTCGGTGTGGGGGCTTCCTTCTTCCGAAGCTGAAATTGGTACCCACACATAATTTGGTTTCTGATACACGTTACTTCAGAAAAGAAATGAAATGAGGTTCCACTGTCGAACTCAAGGAGAGTGAGGAAGGCTTTACCTACGTCCTTGTTTATACGGCGTTGACCTGGTGCGTCGATACTGTTTTAGACCACCAATTTCCTTCGGCCTAAGCTTTTTTTTTTTTTCTTTTCTTCTCTTCTTCTTCTTCTTCTTCTTCTTCTTCGGTCACCACTGAATTTGGGAGTGGGGTTCTTTTTTTTTTCATCAAGCTGCAACCCATCATTTATTTAACCCCTCAACAAACAAATCCTGCCCCTTCAATTTTTGGGGTTAAGTGCTGGCCGTCAGATGTGGTGTTATGCAGGCCAACACCATCCGATCTGCCAC